GTCGGTGGGGTCGAGCCCGGTGATGACGCGCGGTGCCCCGGCGGCGGCGCCGATGATGGGGTCCAAACCGACACCAGCGTGGACGAAGCTGTGTGCACATAAGATTAGATTCCGAGAACGCATGATATCACGGGGACACTGACTTTGCGTTGTCAGCCCAGAACTGTTGGAGGAACTGGAAGCCGTTGCCAATGTTGGATTGGTAGGCGACTGGATTACAGTAAGAATGCGGAGGATGTTTGAATTTTCCTGACACTCACCGAAGGCGAGACCGCGCTCAGTCGAGGTGGTGTTGGTTGCAGCCTCGCCGGCGCTCACTTTAGATGAATCAAACGGCATTATCTTCTGCCAAGCCGGAAATGAATAAAAAATCATGCACACCTTCGGGCCCATAAGGGATGCCCGCGCGGATGATGTGGTGCACAGCGTCCTCGGGCGTGCCGAGATCTGCGCGCGGGCGTATCTTGCGAATGTGTGCCGCGAAGGGGCAGCTATTGGTCATATTCTTTGTCAGAATTTTTCAACCATAGATAAAACACAAGACGAACTAGGTCTGGTTCGTAGCAAGATCCGCGCCGGGGTGCTCGAAAGTGAAATTGTTGTTCTGCTGCGGGTCAGCACCGAGTGTAGCGTTATCGAAGAGCGGGGAGAGATCGACGGGGGCGCCCTACGGAAGCAATTAAGCATGGATGCCAGAAGAGCGGTACATAGATTGAACGTACGCTCTTCCATCTGCCGATCATGCGTGCGCCAAGAAGGTCCGAGCCCTGTTCGGGCGTGAGACCAGGTTCGTCGATCGGGTTGTCGGTCAGGAATTTGTTGAACTCGGGTACCAGCTGGCTGAGCTGTCGGAAAACCAGGAAAGTGCCGTCTTGTGCCCATGCTGGCCTAATTTTTCAAAAAGAAACGCCTTCAGCGTTGGTATTGAGGCAGTTTTGGAGACTAACCGAGTGACCGTGTCACCATCCTCGCCGAGCAGAATCGTACCGGGGGCGACGGCGGCCTGGCCCGGCAGTGGTGAAACGAACCCGATGACGGCAGGGTTCGAGATGCCGTCTTGGAATCCAAAGTCTGAAAAAGAATAGATTTAGCAACTTCAACCAAGTTGGACGTTGAAAAGACTCGCGTTCGTGGCCGGCCTCCCCACCGGGGCGTGCTGCGCCCTCGAGGGTATAGACCTTGGTAATGCTGTCTCCTAATGCCCGTTCGAGGCTAGCTATCTCAGTGTTGATGTTGTCGTCAGTGTCCGAGGCGACGAGGATAACACCGTGAGTGCTTGTGCCGGCGAATTCCGGGACCCAGTTGGTCGACCCTGGGTCACCGAGGGTGGTGAGTTGTGCGAATTGGCCGGCCGTGAAATCGGCATCACCGAGCGAATCGGTGATGCTCAGGGCGGTGAGACCCGTCTGGGAGAACGCGATGTTAAGGGCCGTGATGGGTTGCGTCAACACATCGAGCAGCTGAGTTGTCGTCGTAATAAGCGGAAGGATGTCGGATACCAGTTTGGACTTGAAGTCCCTAGCTTTGGCGATGCTGAAGAAGTAAAAGAGCTCTTTGTTCTTCTTCATTCCGATCCTGCAGAATCGACGGATAAATCAAACAGATTTACCAATTCAAATATAATTTACAAGACATCACCCTGAATATTGGTAAGGTTCAAGCTGGCGGCGCTTGCGGCGGCCGTAGCCTCCTGAACAGTCGGCAGTTCTGGTTGACCGGCGGGGCCTAAACCACGATCAGTGTCTAGCCTATTGAGCTCATAGAAATTACTCACTGATCAGCAAGGACGTTGTTCTCCTCGGTTTGATCGGTCCCCGTTTGTGTTTGTGCTTTGAAGCAGAATCATGGGGCGTAGTCAGAGCCGAAACGAGGCCAGCAAGGAGTACAACGGTAGGGACGGCATTATTGAAAGCGAGTTTCATAGCGGCGAAAGATAGGGAAGAGAAAGGAAAGGAGTTGGATGGGGGAATGCAAGGACGAATAATATGAGGCTTTTGTAGATATTCGCATCCTGTTGTCCGGAGATAATTGACGGACAAATCGAAGTGATGTCGAAGTGGTGTGTGAACCTGATTTGAGCTGAAAGCGCTGGAAAACTCACATTCGACGCTGTTGGCAGTGCCAAATTCCTTTCCTTTTCACCCATTGAGAATAAGATGCACAGTTATGCGAACAATAACACGGCAGCGACGACTATACCCCGCAAAAATTGTGAGCGAAGTTTCGCAGGGGGGGCGGGAAACACACCTTGACTCACGTAATTTGGAATGGAAGAAAGCCAGTTGCGACAGGTAGACAGATGATACCCACCATCCATGAGAGAATGATGTTGAAACAAATATGTTGAAAGGCTCACGTGTCGAGAATCTGGTAGACTTTTTTCAGGTTGGTTGAACCACACCAAGAATGATTGACAGGATCTGGTACTGAGAAGAACAAGGATCCACCCAGGAAATCAGGGGCGAAGGAGATCAAGGTGAAGAAATTTGTTGCCAAGATACGTGACGGGTTTGTTTGAATGGCCCGGGCGTGAATGGCCGTACTAATTCCTCAGTCTTTTCGGCAAAATATTGGCTCGTATGTAGGATGCCGTATGTGCCGCGGTTCAGAGTTTGGCAGTTGCTATGAATCCAACTTTATATTCGATGTCCAGGACGCTCGGAGCCGGGGCCCAGACGAGGAATTCCACTTGAGACGGCTGGAATGGGCGCCTGAGCGGGATCCTGACACTGAAAAATCAAATCAGATATAAAAAAAAGGAAAAAGGAAAAAAAGCGGTGCTCCTCATTCGATCCCTTCGAAGGAATCGGAAAAAACCAATTTACCTTATGGGCCTTATTATGCGAGACAATTTTATAAGGCCTTATAACGAGCTTATAAGGTCATATAATCACCTCATACGGACTTTATAAGGTCTTACAAGATTAGCTCGGATTATGGACCTCATAAGGCACATCCATTTTTTCCGACAGTCCCTCTCACGTTAACTTTCGTTAACGCGAGGAGTCGACCCATTCGATCGACGAAGGCTTGGGTATGGAATGTGGGTTCCAGCTGAAATAGCGTCAGCGAGTTGAACTTGTGGTTGTATAAGGCGGTTTCCTCCGGATTTTATGACGAGCGAACCCCCAAGTAGTTCTTGACAGAGGACAGCAAGTCTTTAAATTGCTATGACATGAGCGTGAAATTTTTGTGGTGAAAGCGAAAGGCTAAGCGATCATTCCCATCAGATCTGATGGGCACTTTTCCAGCACCTGGGTTGACCGGAACGCCTGCACCCTTGGATTGCACGCTCGTCTCTGCCTCCCGGTTCGTCCCGCGCCGTGCTACGCGTTTGACAACAACGCCAAGCATGACTGTCCGATCCTTGGGCAAATCCCGATCCGGGATTCACATTATTATACCCAACTTGGACCGATCGGCACCGGTCGTCGGCCATAGGTCCGACGGACAGCGTGAAAGGGACAAGGCGCCCATAGCGACGTCGAGGGCCATGGCAAGATGCGCCGGATTGTCCTCCGCCGGGTCTGTGCAGCTCGACAGCACGTAGATGTCCCCCGTCAGGCTGGTGAAGTCGGTGGCGTGGAAGAGGGACCGCGCGCACCCAAGGTTCCCAGGCAGCTCCATAATGCTCTTGATCTTGATTGATACCAAGCGCGCGTCGTGTCCGGGAACGAGGGCACGAAGATCTGGGTCAGAGAGAATGGTGTGGATACACCCATCGACGGAGGCATGGAAAGGGGATACTATCGATCACCCACCTTTGCAAAAGAAAGTATCAATTTCTACTGGACTTAGTTCCGTTCCAAATTGTCCACAAAAAATGCAGGTAGATTCCTGGGAATCAAAAGTTCCCCCACGTATTTTAGTTTGAATTGATTGAGGCTGCGTATTTATATCGCAAAGTCGTCCAACTTTTTTTTGCAGGGTAGGTGATCGATAGTAGTGGAGGATGGCTTGGGATCAAAGAAAAAGAAACTGTCCACAAGCCCCGTACTTACGTTCTGTTCTTTTTTATTTCTGAAATTCAAACTAAACTCCAATAGATTTTGTCATCCTTTGCCGCTGGAATTATTTCACCGTAACGAAGCCGCGTATTTGAGCATGCGGTGCTTTGGCACGGAGATCAGACGGCCCCTCGACCCCGAGACCAACAGACGTGGAGCCCAGGGTCGACGCGGTGACAAGGATTGTGGTTCACAGCGTTGGCACGCAGTCAGAACCATCTATGACTTACCCCCGGATTACATCCGGCGTCTGATCTATTGTCACTTCATCGCTCCGAGCCAAGTTTTCCCCGGGAAACCGAAGAAGAAGAAGCAGTGACGGTACGCCCTCAATCTTGAGCCGCGCTGACTTGGGATCAAGTGTCGATGATAATTTCTTTGGAGCATTTGGCTGAATTTGTACGGTTCTGTAGAAGGGTTGCACGTTGTATAAAAGAGAGCTTTGTTGCAGTTCAGATTAGGAACAGGCAACAGACAGATCGGCTACTGGATTTCTACATTTTTAAAATCGCCGCCGTTGACAACTAGTACAAATGCCTGGGGAATTATAAGAACAGATCAAGCTATCATGACGCCTGTGTCGAGGACGTGCGCGCGGCCACCGGCCGACGAACATCGAGCACGACAATGCCGGGTGCTCATTCACAGTTAAGAGCGCCAGCGGGATGAGCGTAGGCGGCACGCGCTACGAGGACGGCGTGCGCAGGACCCACGTCGGGGCGCCCGGGCCCCGAAGACGATCGAGGTTGCGTAGATGGCGAGGCCCGCGGTGTATTCGGGGAGCGTGAGCGAGGCGGGCGTCCCGTCGAGCGGGAACGCGAGTTCATCGATGTGCGCGAAGAAGAAGAGTGCGAGCGAGACGCAGTTGGTGCCGCGGTTTGTGGTTGTTTCGACAATACCTCGTCTGTGATCCGCTTGACGAGTTCTATAGCTTTTCTCAGCTCAATCGACGCGGAATAGGCTACCATACTACATTCGCGAATAATCCTAAAGGGATCCATGGTGTAGTGGTTATCACGTTTGCTTTACATGATCGGCGTTGCGACACGTGGTTAGGTGCGCAAAAGGTCTCCGGTTCGAGCCCGGATGGGTTCACTTTTGCCCGCGTAGACTGCATATTTTTCATCATTTTCGGCTTCCTTCCACAGGAGTTCCCCTACTACTATTTCTACCATCTGATTTTTAGTCGCCCAGCTACCTAGGTGTTTTGATTTCAACCCGAAACCGGAGAGTTTGCACGTGACCACCGCGTGTTTCTTCCAGTTTCCTCCCTCGACGCGATGGCTGCAGGGGTGTCCCTGGTTCTCTTCGTTGCGACCGCGGCAGCTGTAATCGCCCCCTGGTTCTACTTTGGCATCCACAAAGCTCCGAGCAGACCCTGGACTTCCACCCGATCCCTACTCAACGTATTTCTCCTGCTGCACTCGCTCTACTTTCTGTACAAGATCATCGTCCTGCCTCCAACCAACATCTACACGCGTCTCAAGATACCGTTAAACACACCCAGCGACGCGATTCGGGCCATCTTGATCCAGCAATCCGACACGGGAGACCTTCCCAAGCCACTCGAGACGCTCCTCAAGCACCTTGGGTCCTTTGACGTGAAAACGTATTATGTTCGGTGGGTCAAAAAACCCAAGTCTCTTTACAAAGTACTCAATAGTACTTTGACTAGATTCGGCCATTCAGTGGTCGCTCACTGCGATTATTGTCTGTCATTCGACGAGTTTGGGATGTTCGCTCTGCCGAGCGCTTTGATCTCATACATCTGGGCGGCTGCAGTCCTTGGAGTAGGCCTGTCGATTTTTTCATCGTTGACGCAACCTGACATTTTCTCTCAGCTTGTGACCATTAACAGCTCTGGACGCGAGCGTTATCGCACCATAGCCGTTGCAGCCGTGGCGGGAGCCTTCTGCCTCGAAACATACTACATCTCTACTGTGCCCATAGAAATCCCCAAGGACGATACGCCGGTCTTCATGGTACGCCTCTTTCTCCGTGTTCGTACCCTCATCTAACCCATCCCCAGTGGCACGACACCCTCTTCTTCCTCCGGCGCCTCCTCTTCCTCTTCCTCCCACCTATAGTGCACATGCTCCCGCCCGCCGCGTCCGCCGCCGCCCTCGCCAACCCGACATTCACGGCGCTGCGCACCGCCGAGCAGACCGCCCTGCGCCTGCAGCTCCTGCGCCTCGCGCGCGGCGCCGTGATGCGCGCCCCCGACCTCCGCACGCGCGCGGTCGCGTGGTGGACTGCCGAGGCGCGCGAGGGCGCGTGGGTGCGCGAGGACGCCGCCGTGCGCGAGCTCGCCCACAAGCTCGGTACGGGATTCGACGAGGGCGCCGATGGCGAGGTGATGGGCCCGCTGCGCACGAACGCACGCAACTCGGTCGCGGCACTCAAGACGGGGTTTGCGCCGAGCGAGTACTGGCGGGTGCCCCCGCCATAGAGCCTAGCCTACTGTAACCTTACCTTATACCTACGCTTATCCACTTGTAATCTTCTCGAGAATCGCACACAAAAACGCAGCAAAACGATCGCATAAGATAAATTAAGTAGAATATGCAGCAGCGTCCCTGGCCCAGCATCTCCAGACCCGACGCGCAAGCCGTACGTACGAAAGAAGAACATGTAGTAGCATTAGACGGAAAATGCAGTAGCCGTCTGATATTTTAAAAGTCGTAGCCCTCGACTTTGAACGTCTTGCCATACTGCAGGTAGCTGTCCATAATTTTGAGAATCGGTTCGGGCAGACCCATGCTGAGGAGCGTATACGAGATCTTGGCGTGACCGTGGACGTTCCCCAGCTTGAAGAAGCACTGCGCGATCTGCGTCGGGAACTGCGCACCCACTCGTCAGCTCAGCCTACCTATCGACTCCACCGAAAAACGCACCGTCATCTCCGTGTACTCCGCATACTGGTACGCCGCGACGCGGATCGCGGTCTGTATCGAGCGCTGGATGTCGCCCTCGTCGGCGTACATCTCCATGAGCTTGCTCCACGGCTTGACAGAGTACCGCGGCGTGTCGAGACAACGCTGGTACGCTTCCTTCGCCTCCTCCTTGTGGTGCAGCCGCATCCCGAGGTCGCCCAGGATCTCCCACTCGAGCCCCGTCTTGCGGTACGCGACGTGCTGCGTCTTGAAATGCGCCACCTCCGCGCGGAAGATCGTCCACACCCGCAAGTCCTGCCCGACCTCTCAGTTACGCAGTAGCGAGCAGAGAAACCACGAACCTCGTAGAGCACCATAAACAAGTTGTCCAGCCACCGCTCGCACAGGCGCTTGTTGCTGAACGAGAACGGCTCCTGCGGGAGGGGCGACGCTGGCTCCTTCCCCTTCTTGGACTCCTTGTTGTCCGCTTGGCTGATATCCTCGTCCTCATCCCCCGCCGCCGCCTGCACCGGCCGCTCCAGCGTGTCCGCCGCCGCCGCCGCAGCTGCGCCCTTCTCCTTGACCTCCCGGTCCGACTCGGTCGAGATGCGGATCGTCGGGATCCCGTTCTCGCTCGCGTTCCCGTTCCCGTTCCCATTCACCTCGGGCGCGCCGCCCTCCTCTGGGCTCGTCGCAGACACGGGGCTCACCATCCCGCGCGTCGACGCGTTGTCCTCCTCGCCCTCGGCGAGCGTCGTGCCCCCTGACTCGGTGCGCACGTGGCTCGCAAAGTCGCCCTGCGCCTTCTGCATGCGATACTCCTCCTCCATCACGAACACGGAGCTCCGCGTCTTCAGCAGCTCGTCCCACCCGATCTGGGCCACGAGCCGCGTGAGCAGGGCGTATGCACGTGCCCACGTCCCGCGCAGCCCGGGCGCAGGGAGACGCTGCAGGGCGGGGTCGGCCTGACGAGTTGGTCAGTAAAATGTATCTCGACAGGAAATTAACACACTTCGTCGTCCTCCGTCTTGACGCGATCCGGCAAGATCTCGCCTATCGAGCGATGAAACGGCAGGTGCACCCGCGCAGGCGTCAGCTGCCGGTGCGCATCGCGCCCATTGAACGTGAACATCGGGCACGAGTTCAGCGTCAGCAGTGCCGACTCGAACATCCCCAGCTCGACATACACCTCCGTGAGCTTCTCCCAGGTGACGAACTCGCTCGGCGCGGCGTTGACCGCCTGCCGTGCGAGCTTGAGCGCCCAGTCCGCGCGGCCCTTCTCGCGCAGGAAGTCGCACTGCGCGTGCAGCAGCGTGTACGACGACGGGCCCGGCACGCCGCGCAGCGCCGTCGACATGATCTGCAGCGCTTTTACCTCCTCGTCTGTGTCCGTGGTTAGCAATGGCTCTGATAACGGTGGAGAAAGGCGCACTCATCCCGAGGTACGCGCGCGCGAGGAGCGAGTTGACCTCGGGCTCGCGCACGGCGATCTTCTCGAAGAGGTTCGCCGCTTGCTGGAAGCGCCCCGAGGCGCCGAAGTACTTGAGCAGCCCGGCGGTGAGGTGGTTCGTCGTCACCGACGCGACCTGGATTTCTGGGTCCGAGCCGACTTGCCAGCCTGTATACTACGGTGAGCGTGCACGGGGAGGGGAGGAAGGGAACGAACCCTTGAGGAATAGTGCCTCCGCGGCGGCGAGGAAGCGCAGCTCGCCTTCGGGGGAGGTGATGGGGTCGAGCTTGCGGTATGCGTCGAGGGAGTGCGTGGGGTCGTCCGAGTAGAGGATCGCACGCAGGAGGGCGGAGACGAACGTCTCCTGCCACATATCCGGCGTCGCCTCATGTCTGGCCTTTCTCAGCCTCGAAACTTTCGTCGTGGAAATGAAAAACGCACCGCTCGCCCCTCAGATCCACAACATACGCATTCACACCCCCGGGTATCTTGACGTCGACGCGAAAGTCGACGCGCGAGAAGGCGTTGAAGCAGCAGTAGCACCCGTTGCGGACCTTCCACACGGGCGTCTGCGAGAACCACGCGTTGGACGACTCGATCGCGTACGTGAGCGAGTTGATGTACGCGGCGAGCGACGCGGAGGACGAGGCGTCGACGCCCGAGACGAAGTGGTATGAGCCGAGGTCGCGCTGACCGGACTTGCCCGTGCTCTTCACGACATGACACAGGTCGGGCGGGCCGAGCTCGCGGAATGTTGCGAGGCTTTCGGTGCGGGCGGTGAGGGATTCGCCGAGGTCGACCTGCCGGGTGCACTCAGTAGGGACACTGGGCACCGCAAGCCACGCACCTCGAAAAGTTCGGGGATGTCCTTGAATGTCGCGGTCGCTTCTGCCATGAACAACTCAAAGGTTTTAGATGAAAATATAGGAAACCTAGATAGACTGCCCCGATCAGTAAACGTAGACGAACGACGTATCGACGCACCTCCGAGATATCGCGGAGCAGGTTCTAAAACGACCGTCAGTCAATGGTAGGTAGGTATATTCCGGCGTAGTCCCGTTAAGAAACAGCCGGGGCCCGAAAGCGTGCACACAAATGTTTCGTGGCGCCAAAACGTGTCTCCGCCAAACACCTTCGAACGCCCGCCGCTGGACCCGGGGGGTGCTCCCAGAGGCCACAGAACCCATATCGAAGCGCACGAGAATCCACCGAGAAGAAACACAAGGTGCGGATGCACTTATACATACCTACAACACCAAGCAAATCTCGCTCCTAATTCGCGTCCGCAGTCGTTTGCAGCCCGAATCTTGCTCTCTGGAGGTGAAATCCGCCGAATACAAGGCCCGGGGGACGCGAGGAACCAAGTAGGGGACAATTGCAGAATGTGGCACGTACGAGAGAAGCAGGAGTAAACAAAGGCGGGAAAGGCGGTGACGAAATTGTCCTTAAAAAAATTGGTTTAAATTCCGTCTATATGATACAGTTACACCGCTGTAGAAGTCCGATATACAATTAGTTCATGACCTTCTACTCTATAGTGTTAGTATCACGCCTGCAGTCCGAGTCGAGTTGAACGACTCGGCGGCACGGGTATCCACGGCGGTCCATCTAGAACAGCCACGGCCCGACGGCGACTGCTCGCTCGCTCAGTGAACTATGCCAACTCAGGAAAAGGACGGAAAACGCACTGCTTTTGTTGGTCGAGAGCGACTCGGGAAGCTGCAAGCAGCTCTGGTGGATCAAGTTGAGTGCCTTGACCGCGTCGCGCCCGT